CTCTCCTCAGGCCTCTGGCTTATCGCGTCTCGTTTCCTTTGCAGTAAAAGCCAGCAGAGGGAAAACCCATCGTCTCCTGCCACCAGCCTCCCAGTGTCACCGACATCTCCGCACCACCTCCGGTTAGACAGACGGGTTGCCCTCTTCCCAGGCAAGCGGTCCTTCCTGCCCCAGACGCTGCCCACGTGTGCCTTCAGTAACCACCTCCTGGAGCAAGCGTGTCAAACTCATCTTCACCGGTGGCCACATCACCCTCACGGTTGCCTTCAAAGGGCCAAATGTAATTTTAGGACTGTATAAATGTAACTACTCCTTAACTAGGGGCAAGGAGCTTGGCGCTGCCGCCAGGTAGAAACAAGGTGCCAGGCCGGATAAAACAAGGTGGAGGGCGCGATTCGGCCCACGGGCCTTGTGTTTGCCACCTGTGTTCTGGAGGGAACTTTCCCATCTACCTTTAAAACCTCTCGGGTGTCTTTCACCTTAATCCCCCTGACATTTCTCCAGACTCTGCCCTCTTCTGTCTCTCACAGCCAGACTTCTCCAAATCAGAAGACAACAAAAAGACCCGTCCTACTTTCTCACTCGTCCTCAGTCTGGTCCAACTTCAGCGGCTGCCACAGTGCTGAGTGGGCAGTAGTTTTCAGTCTCCGCTGCTTCTTGGGCACAAGCACCTCTGGTGGCCACGGCTTCTTGGGCTTTTTTTTAATAGCTTTGAGACACAGTTCACACCCCATACAACTAAGCCATTTAAAGCAAACAGTTCAGTGGTTTGTAGTACATCCACAGGTATATGCGATCATGACCAGTAGATTTCAGAACATTTTCACTGCCCTTTAGCCAGTGTCCTCTCCCCCAACCACAGGCAACCACTAGTCTATTCTGTCTCTATAGTTCCCTGTTCTGGACATTTCATGTGAATGAAATCATAAGTGGTCTTTTGTAACTGGCTTCTTTCACTTCATTCCTGTTTATGGTCAAATGATACCCCATCATATGACTATGTCAAGGTTGGTTTGCCCATCTGGCTGTTTCCACTCTTTGGCTGTTACTGATAATGCTGCTTTGAGCATTCACGTACACAGTTTTGTGTGGATGTGTTTTTCACTTCTCTTGAGAACGTACCTAGGAGTGGAACTACAGGGTCATATGGCAACTTAAGGTTTAACTTTTTGAGGAACTGTCAAACCATATTCCAAATAGATACACCGTTTTCCAATCCCACCAAGAGTACGCGAGAGCTCCATTTTTCCACATCCTTACCGCCTGTTATTGTCTGATTCGCTGATTCGCATTCCAGTGTGAACTGGTATCTCACCATGGTTTTGATTTTCATTTCCCTGATGTGGAGCACCTCTCCGTGTGCCAACTGGCCATTTGTGTATCTTTCCTGGAGAAATGTCTATTTAGATCCTTTGCTCATTTTTAAATTGGATTAGTGTGTCTTTTTATTATGGACATTCTATATTCTGAATATAAGTCCCTTATCAGATAGATCATTTGCAAATACGTTCCGCATTCTGTAGGTTGTCTTTTCACTTTCTGGATGACTTTCCCCTTGGCTACTGCGGTCCTTCCCCCGGCCCCCAGCCTATCTTCCACCTCTGTTTCCATGTGTGCGATTAGTGTGCGTGCACGTGGTTTATTTTTTTTAAACAGACATAGTAGCATGTTCTCACTCTTCTGCATCTTCTTTGGCAGAACGATCTTTAAAAATGAAACCACAGACTTTATTTTGGAGAATGTTCCCTAATTTGGGTCTGTCCGATGGTTTTTTTCCAATTAGACTGAGGTTATGAATGTTTGAAAAGAATACTATGGATGTGAGACGCCCTTCCCAGTGTGCCGTGTCAGGGGTTACGCACGACGTTAACCTTGATCGCTTGGTTAGTAGTGTCTCCTGGGGGTTTCTCCGCCGTGAAGTTATTACTATTTTTTCTTTTATAATGAATACATATTTGGGGAGGAATATTTTGTGACCACGCAAACAGCCGTTCTGCTCAAATTTTCCGTGGACCCTCCTTGCAACATGTGCTGCAGTGTTCTCATGACGACCTGCCGCTTCTCTCCTTCCTCGTACATTTACTAACTGGGAGCTTTCTGTAAGGAAGAGCTGTCCCTTCACTCCCATTTATTTACTTAATTACATATTTATACTAGTGTGAGCTCATGGACATTAATTTTAATCTTTGGATTAAAAGTCCGAAGTAGGATCATCACTTACTTCACTGCTTCAGTTTCGGCTTTGGCCAAGGAGGATTCTCTCAGGTTAACGCTCCTACAGCCTCCTTTCAGCCCTTCTCCAATCTCCGTTTCAAAAAAGTTATTTTTTTACCATTTGCTCACTTTCTGGCACTGTAAGCTGTTCTAGACTTATCCTGTATTTCCCCTGCTACAACTTTTAAATTTGTTTTTAGAGAAAGGGAGGGACAGAGTGAAAGAGAAAGAGAGAGAAACATCCATTTGTTGTCCCACTTACTGATGCAGTCATTGGTTGATTCTTGCGTGTGCCCTGACCGGGGACCGAACATGCAGCCTTAGTGTACGAGGACAATGCTCCAATGAACTGAGCTCCACGCCAGGGCCGCGGTCACTTTACTGGGGCTTCACCAGAACAATCTCCTTTCTAAAACTGCAAATCTGATTGTGTCCCTCCTTCTTCAAATCTTCGCATGGCCTCCTGCTGCGCTGGCAACAGACCAGAGCCCTCAGCGTGACTGACGGCCCTGCTCTGGTTGGCGAACTGAAAAGCATCCATCTTTCTTCTTAAAGTGCCTCCTGCAGGCCAGTATTTCAAACTGCAGTGCATCCTGTCCTCTAGTGCCCCCGAGCGGAGGAGGGGACTTGGCGTGCTGTCAGAGGGGGCCTCCCTGAGGGCGGATCCTGACTACATCTCTATTCTGCCCCCACACTCTCTGCCAGGACACTGCTCTGGTCAGCGAGGCCCCTCACTGAACCCAAGGATCTGTTTCATTCCAGACAGAAAAAGACCAGAAAGAAAAAACAGGTGAGAATGTACGATGGGCTCATCAGGTTCCCCAAAAGACCCCCAACCGTCTCCTACCCAAATGGCTTTGAGGGCCCACTGACAGACCATACTGAAAAGTGAACAAGGGACATTTTCAGATTTGTCCCTGACATTAATATGACCTTTTCCAAGCTCTCATCCCATTCCTAGGCCTCAGTGACTCCCTCTGGCAAATGAGACTAATTTAGTCAATCTCAGGATATTTCCGGACACATCACTCGGTATGAGGCACATGCTGGGTCCCAGGGTGCAGTTCAGAGATGGGTCAGCTCTTAGGCTCCTTGGGGCTCTGAGTCAGCGGGAACATAAGCCAGGCAGGGCAAATTGCTGGACTGTGAAAGAAGTTCCACGTGATAAGTCTTGGAGAACTTTAAAAATCAGGAGAGAAATATTAAGCTGAAGCTTTAAGAGTTTTTCAGAATTTGAGGCATCAAGTAAACTGAGCCTTTATAGATGTGGGTAGCACTTATGTACAAGGAAAAGGGAAGGAGGTCACCCAGTCAGAAGAAAAGGCATAAACAGAAATAGGAGGAAGAAACCTCTGGATGTAAATGGAAGCAGAATGACAGTACAGCTGGATCAAAGGGCATCTGAAGGTGAGTGTTTCCTGGTCCCCTGGCCTAGGAAACTCCTCTCCTACCCGCTGACTGAATAGGACAGTCAGCATCTTTGCAACGCCCCGTGTGTAACCAGAGACATAAACTGGGTCCCACAGGAGGACCGGAGGCAGAGATGCTCCTGGAGGCAGCGGCAGAGCTGACTACTGGAACCTCAGCTACCTGCTCGCAGACCCGAGAGAAAAAGGGTCTGGGAGGCCGCATAGCCCGTTGGCTCTCAGGCGGTACCAGCAGGCCCAGGCGAGCTGGGCACATGTCCCCCAAACCCCATGCTCAGCCCCCAGCGCTCGCTCCCTCAAGCTTCATATCTTGGCCTCTTTCTTCAAAGGAAACAGGCTGCGGCCGGCCAACAGGCTCCTGTGTTCAGGCGGCTCGGGGTTGACTCGTGGGCATCATCTGGCCAGAGCCCAGAAGCGACTTCCTATACTGCCAGCTCTTCTCTGGGAAGAAAAAGTAGCTCTAGTTCGCCCACGAGCCTCCACCGGGCTCTTCTCTCATTTGTGTCCACGAATGGGAACAGGCTTTCTGGTTCCAGCTCAGGGTTGGCCACAGGCATGACCCTGCGTGAAGCCTAGAAACCCTCTAGGACTCAGCGTTCCTATCTGTAAAACGGGATGAGCTCTGACTCCTCTCTCCCTGCAGGGCACAGAAGAAAAGGATGAGATCATGTCTGGAAAAGAACTGCAGCTGCAAAGGCAGGTCTCCTTGTGTGGGGTAGGGGTGGGAGTGAGGAGCTCGGCAGGGCCTTTGGGGAGCAGTCATTGGCTTTGATGTCGCCTTCCTCCTGTGGGCCTACAGTCTTCCCAGGGAAGCAGGGGGTGGGGTAGTGGAGAGGAAGGGACCGCAAAGCCAAGAGCTTTAACCTTTTCCTAGCTCCCGGGACAGGAAGTGAGGTGCTGTCTACAGAGGAAGTAAGAAGCAAACAGCCCCCAACTTCCCCTCAGCCTACAGTGGAAAGGAAGGCCCATGGCTGGGGAAAGAGAAAGCTTGGGTAGGGGTGGGGAGGAGGCATTATCAACACCATCTGGCAGAGAAGGGGGTTTCAAATGTTGGACACAATAAAACTCAGGGGCACAGACCAGGGGAGGCGGGAGAAGAGAAGCCACTGAAGTTGAGAAGCCCAGCATTCCAGGTCACATGGTATCCTATCTGCAGTTCTGGGTCCAGGCTCCTGGCCTGCTTCGCCCCCACCCCACACCAAGGGGGTCCAGGTTGGATTACACTCTTACAGTGTTATATCCTTTCTTTTCAGACTTTGTCACAGCTGTGATTCTGTAACTGTTCAATTATTTGACTAATGTGGGCCTTTGTTGATGAACATTTTACCTCCAGAGTCCAGCACGGCACCCAGCACGCAGTTAAGTGCTGCCTGAATGCATGTGCTGATTCCTGCTGCAGAATTTCTGGGGCTGCTTTTGGCTTAACCCCCGAATCTGAGTGAAATTCAATGAGCGAAGACAATGAACCTTGCTCGTGGCCTGGGGTCGACTGAGGACCACGGGGTGAGTGATAAAGGTCAGAAACAGACGGAGGTGCCAGGAGAAATCTATGCACGCCAGTACACTGCCAACAGGTAAGGCGACAGAAGACGACGTTATACGCTATACACTACCTTTTGGGTAGAAAGAAAAGAACCCGTATTTGTATTTGTTTTTGTGTAAAGAAGCTGTTGAGGGAGAGAGAGGTAAGGAACTAGTAAGCAATTATGGAGGGAGAAGGGGGGAGGTGGCGGCAAGATTTCTCAGGGTACGGCTTGTTGTCTCATCCTGATTTCTGCACTAGGTAAAAAAAATGTAGTTAAATAATAATATCAAACTTTTAAAAAACATTAGAAGGAATAACCATGTGAGCGGGTGATTTCTAAAGTGCTCTGGCGGGGGCCGTCTATTCTCTTCCCCTATTAGAAAGTAGGAACCCGGCCCCTGGAGCAGAAGGGGGTCGGAAGGTCTGGCCAGGTGAGTGGGGGGCCTGGCCAAGGGATGCCACTATCTCCACTCCCTTTCTTCCCAGAAATTTCTCCCTGGGTTAGAAGAGAGGCCCTCCCACCCCAGACTGTGGTGTGGCACCAAACTATTCACAAGTTGATCAGGGCCACCTCTGATTGGATTAAGAGTTCATTCTAGCCCTGGCTGGTGTAGCTCAGTGGATTGAGCATGGGCTGTGAAACAAAAGGTTGCAGGTTCAATTCCCAGTCAGGGCACATGCCTGGCTTGCGAGCCAGGTCCCCAGTGGGGGCCATGTGAGAGGCAACCACACATTGATGTTTCTTTCCCTCTCTGTCTTTCTCCCCACCTCCCAAAAAAGAAAGGAGTTCATTCTAGATTCTTGGGAAGGGGGTTAGTAGGGTCTGGCCAAGGGCAGGGGCAGAGTGGGAGGTTGGACAAGGTGAAAGTTTGGGGCAGGTCAGGGTAAAGCTGGGTAAAGTTTGGGGCCTGATTCCTGAATAGGCCTGGGGCCATTGCAGGCAGGTTCTGGGGGTGTCTCAACAGATCCTCACACAAAAAGGCCAATTACAGCCTCCACTCAAGCTAGCTGGGGGTCAAGTGAATAGCCCCTGGGAACTACAGCTGCCGAGAAGCCCAGGGCCACACCCCAGGAGTTCCAGGGACCCTAACAGTCCTGTTTAGGAAAAGCCTCATTCCCCTACCCAGAGGGCCTTTAGGGAGGGGCAACTGAGAATGGCAGACTGACGCCCCCAGAAGCACCTACCACACAAGCCTTGCAGGCAAAGCATGAGCTGCAGAATAGGGCAGTCTGTCCTTTAAAAATATCTATACATTAAAAAAAAACACACACAAAAAAACTCAACCTTCTTGAGGACTGAAGAATTCCCAGAGCTAAGGACCAAATATAAGGTTTAGAGAGCTGTGCCTGACTGGGCTCTTCTCAGAGGCTGGTGGATTTTTAGAAATCAGTAATAACAGCAATGATAATTCACCTTAATAACAGCCTGGCCTTCTCGGGCCTCTTTCATCTGTGTAACTCCCAGAGCTGGGAAAACGGTAATTATCGAGCAGGTGCCACACCCCAACGATGATGTGTTATTAATCCATCAGCACAGCCTGGGAAACTGAGGCCCAGGGAGAAGGATTTCCCCTCACACGGAGCTGAAGCTGCAAGCATGAGGGTCCCTCGGCAGTGAAGGAACGAAGGTGCCAGCCCCTCAGCTGTTGCGTTTTGAGAGCACACTGAAGATAAGGGTACTCCTTCTAGAGTCAGCATGACCTGGGTTTGGGGAGGTGAGGGAAGACCCCAAATGTGTGCAGCCCAGGCTACAGCAGGGCTTGGTGGTGGGCTCTGATCTTGAGCCCATGCACCCCATTCTCCCAAAGTTCTGCAAAGCAGACCGACAGCTGCTGGGAGCATCTCTGCCATCTGCAGTGTGAGCAGACACCATAGGGTAAGGGCTCAGCCCTCCAAACCACCCATGCCACAGGCATAATAAAGCGGGACTGGGGGTATCCTGCAGCTGGATGGGTGGATCAGATCAAGAACCCAACAAGAAGTAGGCAGACTGCTTCTTGGGAACCTGAGCCCATCTCCGCAGCCCCCTTCCATCTTTGGCACTGATCTCAGAATAATGAGCTCCTTCCCACAGCAAGGCCTGTTTGGGCTGATCACGCTGCAGTAAACTGCAGTGGAGGCCCAGCTGGCCTGTGCCTTCCAAGAGGGTAGGGGAGGGTGGGCAAAGAGTCGTAAAACACCAAAGACCTTTCCTTTGGTGGCCACAAAGACTCACATGAGCATGTAAGGGTAAAGGCATTGCCTCTGCAGATCTACCCACAGACTGTCTGTGCCTGGTCCTGGGAGAGATGCTGAGGACAGATGCGGTCTCAGTGCCAGGAAAACTGTAAGGGCCAAGCCAGGCAGCAACCAACGACCTTGTCCTCTGACTTTCCAGGGCAGGGCCTGGGGAACAGCATTAAGGATGTTGTTAGAAGGGATTTGAGTTGTTATACTTCTACATATTAGACAGCTGACCAGAGCCCCTGGGGGAGGTTCCAGAAATAACACTCCGCCCCTCCTAGGGCCCAGCTTTCCGTAATCTCAGGTTCAAGAACTGCCCAGTCTGTTTAAATTCAGCCAGGCCTCCTCCTGCATGAAAACTAAGGCAGAATGGCTCTGTGGAAAACACTTGACCCGAGTCAGGAGCCCTGCCTGACACTCACCACTGTATGAATCACTTTCCCCTCCGGACTCCAGTTTCCCCATTTTAAACACGAGGGCGTTGGACTAGCCTGTCTCTAGGATTCCTTCCAGCCTGTGATTCTATGTTGTTTTGATGTGGTGGCAAATCCCAGATTGATCTACATAAATTTGCATGTTCAATCGGAAACCCCAAACTCCGAGTGTAGAAAATCCAATCAGTCCATTAGTGCAGCTGGAGGAGAAAGCCAAGTTCGGGCGAGGACTGTCACAGCAGACAGTGGTGGTGAATTGGGGGAGGAGCCAGAGGAAGCCGGGGCGGGAAGCAGCATTTGTTCTCAGAGATACAGTTCTGATGACCTAGGGCTGATGGGGCCCTGGACCCCACTTCGACTACCAAACAAGGGTCCTTTCTCCTTCTGCTTCTAAAGAGGTCTCTGGCTGGCCAGTGTCAGCCACACCCCACGAGGGAACAGCAGCTTCTGCCTAGCAACAGCTGCATCCTTCACTCTGACAGAGACTCCACCATTACCCACTTGCTGGGAAACTGACCTCCCTGGGATCTTCATTCTTCCTTCCAGGGCCTCCCAGCAGTGAGGAAGATTTCCTTGGGATGTAACTTAAATACCTCCTGCTGCAGCTTCACTCTCATGGACAGCAGGGCCCACGGGGGCTACCAGGGGGATGAGCAATGCAGGAGAACGGGCCCCATATCCAGCCAATTCCAGGGCCTCTCTAACTACTACCTCTCCTTCGACATCCCACTCAGCACCTGGGAGACCGAGGACGGAAAACAAACAAGGAGGACGTGGAGGCCTTTGGCTCTTGGGCTACAGAGCAAGTCCCAACCTGGGGAGCCTGACTCCTGAGAAAGCCCTAATCCCCGAGGGAAGGAGGCTGGGAAAGGTGGGGTAGGGGCAGCCTGTCTCTGCAGCTGCTGGGCTGGCATGTCAGGGACTGGAAGGCTGGCTGGGCTGGGTGAGGGCAGCAGGGGAGATTCCTTATCTCCTTGACTGGGAGCTGGGGTGTGAGTGCAGACATGAGGTGAGTAGGGCAAGAACTGGAATGGGTACCAACAGTGGGCCCTCCTTGTCCTCTTCCCATAAGAGGGCAGATGAGTGTGCTGTGTTCTCTGGCCCTGATCCTAAAACAAGTCCCAACAGCTGAGGTGCAAACTGTCTCCTGGGAATCTGCTTACCTTGCTGGCCTTCAGCTGCTTCCTTTCTCAATCCCTCCCCACAGGCCCAACTCAAAGACAGGCCCACCAGGCCAGGATGTTTCACCAGAAGCCCTGATGGGTGGGCCAAATCCCAGGCTGTAAGAGTTCACAGCCCAAGGCCCCAGGGGTGAGCAGGACAAGGGCTACTCTTAGTGGGGATAAGGGAGTTTACTCCCTTCCACCCAAGGTTCTAATCTCAAGTAACTGAGATTTAGAACCACATCACCCGACACCTACCACTCCAAACTGAGCCACCCTGCCAGAGGACCTTTCTCCCTCATCAGTGGAACCACACAGTATCAAAAGTGGAAGAAAGTGATAGAACTCTCTGATCCAACTGGTGAATTTTACAGATGGGCCCAGAGAGGCAAACTGTCTTAGCCACAGTCACAGAGCAAACTAAGAAGCTCAGGGACCAGAGCTTCTGACTCAGTCCACAGTGACAACAGCTGGTCCTCATGCATGTTGGGTTTCACCTGCCTGCTGTGAAGAGCCTTCTTCCCTGCAGCCAAGGCCACCTGCCTCTGTAGGTTCGTACTCTCTCCCAAAGGCCTGAGTGGGAGAAAAAATGATGGAGGGCCCATGCCACCTCACACAGACCACAGACTTTGAAAACAAAGTTGGGCCCTGGCCAATGTGGCTCAGTGGACTAGGAGCCAGCTGGCGAACCAGGTCACCAGTTGATTCCTTGTCAGGGCACATGCCTGGCAGCGGGGTGTGCAAGGGGCAACTGATCGATGTTTCTACTGCACACTGATGTTTCTACTGCACACCGATGTTTCTCTCCCTCTCTCCTTCCCTCTCTCTCAAAATAAAGAAATAAAATCTTTTAAAAACAAAGAACAGCAACAAAAAACCAGAGTTGAAGTATGTGTGAATTTCCCCAGATAGGAATACTTGTATTCTTCTGAGGTAGGAAGTACAATAACCCACGTTGTTCTAAGAGAGATAAGGGGCCAATTTGGGAAGTGAATTTTGTCTCACTTCTTGCCAGACAAGGAGTCTCAGAGTCAGCTGGCATAATGTCTCGCAAGAGAGGGTCTGCAACAAGGCAACTGGGCTAGGTCCATTATCCTCAAAACTACTGACCACAGAATGGTTAGACACTGGCCCCCTCTTTACTGCCCCTCAGGACCATCCCTGTCCCAAGTACCTGCTTCCAACCACTATCTCTGGCAGACAATTGTACTTAGAGACAGGAAGACCTGTTGGAGACAGAGAAGAGTAGAGAGGGAGTAAGAGGAGTTGCCTCTACAGCCAGGGAATTCATCATCTTAAGAACTCTGGCTCCTCAGGAAAAAGAGCATTTAAAAAGGAGAGCTGGACAGGGTGAGTGGATAGCGCTGACACACCCGGAAAACCAGGCCTGTGGGGGGTGAAAGCCCTCTGTACTCTTGGGGCAGTGCTAGGGCTGTATCCCACCTTGGGCCCAGAATAAGGAGATGGAGACTGGGGTTCGGACAGCCACTTTCCTAGTCGGGCTAGGCCAGGGGAGTGTTGGGCACAGATAAATTCTCGGCATTCTTCTGGCACCGCAGCCAGGACACAGAGTCTTTTCCGCAGGCGCTGCCCTGGACCCATTCCCTTCCCAGCCCTTCTTCCTTCCTCAGTCTCTCTTTAGTGTTCAGCCCACCGAGCTACCCTCCTCCTAATCACAGATCCTCAAAACCCCGACGGGTCGTTCCTGCAGGCCCAGATCTCTCTGCCTCTCGCCACCTCCCCCACGCCCTACCACCCCAGGCCACGGGAACTACTAAGTGCGAAGAGGAGCCCGGAGCTCTGCTCCGCGCCTGCGCTTAGGTAAGAGCCTCCCCTACTGCAACAACCGGGCAGCACCAAGCGGCACCCGAACGGTGGGATGCGGGTGGGGTGGAGTGTGCAGCTGGGGCAAGGTCAGTGCTTTCAAAGAAGGAGGGAGACCGGCCCCCGGAACATCCCCTCTCCCGAAAGTTTCCCTTCCGGGGCCACGGAGTGTGCGCGAGGATGGCGCGGGGGGCGGGAGGGGGTGGGGTAGGGTGGACAGAGTCCCAGCCGGACCCCTGGGGGAGAGCGCGGGGCGGAGGGGCCGGCAGCGAGGTCCCGGCTGGTAGCCGTGCCGCCCCTTCCGAACCAAGGCTTACACGACAGCCTTACCCTTTACAACCCTCACCCCCAGCCCGAGGCTTACAGACCCCTACCACTCGCCTCCCTTTAAATCCCAAGTAGGTTAAAACTCACCGAAATCAGGTGTTGAGCTGGGCCAGGGCAAGCTGGATCCGCCGGGTCCATTGCCAAGGATAAGGGGCGAGGGGCAGAGGAGGGGGGTGCTGGGGCCGCCTCTTGATGTCAAGGCTTTAAAGGGGCCAGGGAGCTCCGCCCCGTGCTCAGGTCCCGCCTCCCTCCTCCCGCGCAGCCAATCCACGTTCACCCTGGATACACGCCCCTCCCAGCTCCTCCAGATGTTCCCAGGACGAAAGCTAAGTCTTCCCCGCCGGCGCGCGCCGCTTCCGCCCCGGAGGGAAGGAGTGCCCCTCCCCCCTACAAAGAAACACTCTCCCAAGGCTGGGCCGGGCCGGGCCTGGTAAACCTCCCCAAAGCTGGGTTACAGGACCTCAGTCCAGGCCGAGCTGGGATGAAATTGGGGGCATATATGGCACAGAAAACTTAAGTAGGTGCGCGCGGACCCACAGGCACGTGGGTCTGCTTCTGTGAGGCTGGCTGTGCACGTGTCTTTGTGGTTGTGAGCGTCGGTGTTTGTAATTTGCCTTCCTGCATACGTGTTAGGAGTAAATCTATGGGAAGAGTCTTGAGTGCCTCCTTGGCCTTAAATGCTCCCATCTCCCTTTTCTTCCTTCGGGATGGGGTCCTCCCAGTAATATGGAGAACTGGGCACTGGTTGGAACGGACTCAATTCCTCTCCAGAGAAATGCTGGTCTGGTTCCTCGCTGGTTTAGGAGGAGGGAAACCTTAATAGAAAAAGCATAAATCCGTGTTCTCAGCCACTTGCTATCTCAGTGAGGATGAGTTTTTTCCCTGTTGAACTAACTAGAGTGAAGAGGAAAAATAAATAGCCCACCTAGGCCCTTGAGGGCCTCAGAGCTCCCATCAGTCCTGCTCTGTGGTCCTTGGATAAACGTCTATTTGCCTCCATCTGGACCGTTATCTTCAGAATCTGCATTGTACTGACTGGTTGGAAAATGCAGGTTCTGAACTGGGTTCTGCAAGGAAATACAAAGGGACCCTTAGCCACAGTCCGGGTCCATTTTACTTAAATTGCTTCTGCTGTGGGATGTATTGCAGGGGTGTCCAACCTGCCTTCCTACTAGCTGCATGGGGCTCAGCATGGTTATCAACGTGGCCTAACACAAAATTGTAAATTTACTTAAAACCTGTTTTTCGCTCATCAGTGTTTGTGTATTTAATGTGTGGCCTAGATACCAAAAGGTTGTACACTTAAAGCATCATGTTATTGGTCAAATAAAGGAACATAAAAGCTGAGGGAAGGCCCTGGCTGGTGTAGCTCAGTGGATTGAGCACGGCCTGCGAACCAGACAATCGCAGTTCGATTCCCGGTCAGGGCACATTCCTGAGTTGCAGGCCAGTTCCCTGCAGGCCAATTCCCAGCAGGGGACGCACGAAAGGCAACCACACATTGATGTTTCTCTCCCTTTCTCCTTCCCTTTCCCTCTAAAGATAAATAAATAAAATCTTAAAAAGCTGAGGGAACATAGGGTGTACAAACTGGCTAGGATTAATCAGGGGTTCCTCTGGGAAGGAGCGCCTCAATTTAAAGTGGAATTCAAGGGCAGAGAAAAAGATTGAGTAGGATACAGGCAGGGTAAGAACATAAGGAGACTCAGAGGGGAAAGAACAAATTATCTATGTGGGGTAGTGAGCAGATAAGGTTGGTGGGGTGAGAAGTGGGAGTTCATGGAGGAGTCTGTGTATGGAGGAAATCAGAACCAGGATACAGATTTGACAGCACAGGTGATGTCGCTGTGGGTCCTTGAGCATAAGGGGTAGCTAAACTTTTTCAAGGGGTAGCTAAACTTTTTCAAATGACTGATGAGAGTTATTATCACAGCCTAAAAGATGTCATGATGTTTACTCCCACCAGCTTTCTCATCTTTGCTTTAAACAATTTTTTAAAAATTGATTTGTGCTTAAAATACAGCTAAATACACAGATCTTCATTGCTCTGTTTGGTGCATTTCAACAATAATATACACTTATGTAACTCCCCAAATAAGATACTGAAACATCACCCCAGAAAGTTCCCTCAAGTCCCTTGGAGGGAGCAGTTGATTTCCCTGCAACTACCACCACCCACCTGCAGCTTCTTGAATCCTTTCACTGTAGTTTTGTCTGCACTTGGGCTTTGCGTAAGTGGAATCATACATCATGTACTGTTGCATGTATATTTAAAATTTTTTTATTGATTGATTTTGAGAGAGAGGAAGAAAAACATCTATTTTGTTGTTCCACTTATTTATGCATTCTGTGGTTGATTCATTCATTGGTATTGCCCTGACCAGGGATCAATCCTGGAAACTTGGCTATCGGATGACATTCTAACCAACTGTACTTCTGGGCCAGGGCTTGCATGTATATTGTTTAGCTGAGTAATGTTTTTGAGATCCAGCCATGTGTAATGCATTCTTTTTTTATTGCTGAGTAATAGTCCATTGTATGAATTACATCACAGTCTGTTTATCCAATCTCTAGCTGATGGATATTTGGGTGTTTCTATTTTGGTCTATTATCAATAAGGCTGGTAAAAACATTCTTTTTCAAATATTTTGTGAACATGTTTTCATTTCTCTCACCTTATTTCTTTTTAAAAATTTATTAATTTTACAGAGAGGGGGAGAGAAATTGATTTGTTGTTCCATTTATTTATGCATTCACTGGTTGTTTCTTGTATGTGCTATGACTAGGGATAGAACCTGCAATGTTGGCATATCATGATGCTCTAACCAACTGAGCTACCTTGCCAGGATCTCTCACCTTCTTTCTTTCTTTTTTTAAGATTTTACTTATTTACTCTTTGAAGAGAGGGGAAGGGAGGGAGAAAGAGAGGGAGAGAAACATCAGTGTGTGGTCCCCTACTGGGGACCTGGTCTGCAACCCAGGCATGTGCCCTGACTGGGAGTCCAACCCGCGACCCTTTGCTTCACAGGCCGGCGCTCAGTCCACTGAGCCACACCAGCCAGGGCTCTCACCTTATGTTTTGATGATAGATAGTGGCACCTTTGGAATCCTGGAGCATTAATTAATTCTTATTCATTCAACCATCCAACATTTATTGAACAGGGATCTGTAGGAGAATTCTTGGTTTACAACAAAAATTAGATGTGTTTCTTTCTTCAAATGGCTTTAAGTCCCGTAAAACTCCATGTATCTTTTGCGTTCCAAAGCCATGGAGTGGATAAACCTTAAGAGTCTGCCAGGCATTTCTGAGTATTTTTGGATATTTCCAAATAACTAAATTTTGGGGAGCAAACAGACCATCCAAATGATTTTTTACTTTTCATTCAGATGTTTGCCACTGTTTAATAAACACAGACGTGCCCTGTCTGGGTAGCTCCTCAGTTGGTTAGAGCAATGTCCCAATACACCGGGGTTGCAGATCCCTCCTCAGGGCACATACCGGGATCAACCAGTGAACATATAAATAAGTGGAACAACAAATTGATGTTTTTCTCTCTCTCACATCAACTAAAAAATTTAAAAATAAACACAGAACATCTGTCCTTGTCAGAGCTAGTACCTTACCTGCCTTATTTAAAATACTGCTGCACACTTGGAAGTTTAGGCATTCAGGTTTTGGCAGATGCTCCACAAACCTTCCTCTCTGCTGATAGGAGGCGAAAGAAGGATCGATAACTTTGCTCCATAATCACTTTCTGTCCTCAATGAGGCTTTGGACACTGTGGTATTACACTCTTCAGTGGTATTATTCACTTAAATTACTAAAAATTGTACAGAAGTTCCAAAGTTGGTTTTGTACTCTTATATACTACTAATTATATATTGTCCTTTACTTGAATTGTCTGTGTTACAAAATAAGCCAGGCTTCATAGGTTTGTGGTTGCTGCAAGCTGTTGGAAACGCACCAGTTTGGTGGTGTGGTCTAACTGCACACAGCGCTGATGACTGACTGGCATCTCAGAGGCCTTCACATCGGCATTTTAGGGTCCTCTGCTTCAGTACTACGTGGCCATTAATTCAGTGTTGGAACATTTTCTTTCCTCAGTTTGGCGTTGTAGCTTTGGCACTGTATCCATTTGGCCACTGTGTTACATTGGTTGCTTGATTGGATTGATTCTGAGTGTTTTCTTTTTCTTAAATTTTATTTATTTATTTTTAAAGAGAGGGGAAGGGAAGGAGAAAGAGAGGGAGAGAAACATCAATGTGTGGTTGCCTCTTGCACAGCCCCCACTGGGGACCTGGACTGCAACTCAGGCGTGTGTCCTGACTGGGAATTGAACCAGAAACCCTTTGGTTCTCAGGCTGGCGCTCAGTCCACTGAGCCATACCAGCCAGGGCTGATTCTGAGTGTTTTCTTGATATCTTCCCTGCTCGATAAGAGAAAGAAAGGAGCTGGGATAGGTTAGTGTTTGGTCATTTACTGAATCGAAATGATCTTTGCTAATGCCATTTAATTGAACCTGGGACAATTAAGCTCCTCGGGTTCTGACAGCATTGCCAGTACGTGCTTTGTAATCCACCTGATACAAATATGATGGATCTGCTCAGGTCCTTGAACCCCTTTTCCTTCATTTTCCTCAATCAAAAATTCTTGTTGAGGCTTTACCATATGTCAGGCACTAAGCACTGGATAACATGTGGGGTATGGTAAGTAATGAGATTGAAAAGTTAAGCAGTAGAAGATCATACTTCATCCTAACAGCGATGGAGAGCTTCTGAATGGTTCTAAGCAGGAGGGTGGATAACCAAAATTCTATTTTAGAAAAATCAGTGTGGTTGCAGTGTGGAGACCAGAGAGAGTAGGATGGAAGTCAGGGAGACCAAACAGAATGAGAAATGTGCTCTGGACTAGAAAAGTGATAGTGATGAACAGGAGATGACTTCCAGGAAATGAACAGCTCTTTCACCACGTGAGGACACAGCCAGAAGTTGCTGGCTGTGAACTGGGAAGGGGGCTCTCACTTCTTAGAATGTGACTATGCTGGTATCTTCATCTTGGCCTTCTTAGCCTCTGGGACTGTGAGAAGTATTTATAAGCCACTCAGTACATGCTAGTCTGTTATAGCAGGCTGAATGGATGAAGACAGAATTTGGTACTATTCTTAGTACCGATTAGTTAAAGCATGCTGCTTTAACAAATATCTAAAAATGTGGGAATGGGCCCTGGCTGGTGTAGTTCAGTGAATTGAGTGCGGGCCTGCAAACCAAAGGATCTCGGTTCTAGTCCCGGTTGGGGCACATGCCTGGGTTGCAGGCCAGTTCCCATCAGAGGACACACGTGAGGCAACCATACAATGATATTTCTCTCCCTCTCTCCTTCCCTTCCCCTCTAAAGATGGATAAATAAAATCTTTTTAAAAAATTGAAAATGTGGAATGGC